TATATATATATATATATATAATGCGGTGATCATCCGTATGGAGAGAGGGATTTGAGCCCTGATTGATGATTTTGAAGAGGTTTGTCATGATTTTGCGGTATGATTTTGATTTTGAAGAGGGTTTTTCGCCATCTGGGCCGTGGTTCAATCCCCTGTTCGGTTCGAATCTCAGTAAGTTTGAGTTCAGTTCTGTGTTTTTTAAGTGATGTGGATGATGGCTAATTGAAATGGGATAATTTGATTTTTCTTTGTTGTTTCACAGTTTCAATCTGCAAACATGCATGCCAATCACTTGCTTCTCGAAGAGCCTATCAGGATGGCCTCCATTCTCGAGCCATCTAGAGCCGTAAGTTCCATTTTTTTCTTCTTCTCAATTTCAATGTCAATCTATACATCTTTGTGTATGTATATATATATATATATATATGATTGTGACTTTGATTTGGAACTTGTACGATGTTTATTGATTTCACAGAATTTCTTCCCCGCAATGACAAAGATCGTTGGGACTTTGGGCTCCAGGTCTCGATCTGTCGAGGTCATCTCTGGTTGCCTTAAAGCTGGAATGTCTGGTATTATAAATTTTCTCTGTAAATATTTGTATTTATGTGTTACAATTGTTGCATATCTTTGATCTTGTGTGGAACAGGGTTTTGATTTTACTTTGAAGTTTGGGGGATTTGAGTAATGATTTGTGAATGTGTGGTTTGCAGTGGCTCGATTCGACTTTTCGTTGGGGGATCCTGAGTATCACCAAGAGACTTTGGAAAACTTGAGGGCTGCTGTGAGGACCACTAATAAGCTTTGTGCTGTATGTGTTTATATATATGGGGTTTTTATTAATTGAAGTTTGTTACATTCTTGATCTACAATCATTTATGCTCTGTTTGTTTGCATGGAAAACGTTTTGTACGAAAGAAGAGAGGAAACTGATCTTTTTGATTGCTGAAAAGAAAATTGAATTGGAATATGTTGTACAATGCTGTTTTTGGCCTTTAGGCATTGGGCAACACAACTTAACTGATGGTTCTTGGCTTCAGTTTTTAGTTGGATTGTTCTAAATAATAATTGTTTTGAATAAAGTTTGTGTAGTTTCATTTATTTTCAAAAGAAGCAAATGGAACAGCAGTATGCAAAATAAGATTTGAGTTTGAGGAAATTTTTTGTTTTTCAGGTTATGCTAGATACAGTGGGTCATGAGTTGTAGGTTGTCAACACCATTGAGAAAACTATTTCACTTGAGGATGGTAAAGTTGTTCTAACACCTCATAATGGTCAGGAAGCCTCTCCTGAAGTGTTGCCTATCAACTTTTCTGGACTGGCAAAGGTATCAACATTTGCATCTCCCTGTTATTAATGCTAATAAATTTTCTTGCGTAGATTTTGAAGCGTAATAGATTGATGAAATTACATGAATAAATTAGAAAATGCATGTTGTTGGGTTGTCAAAATGTTTGAAAAAGGTTTATTTTGACTTTTTGTTTTTGGGTTTCAACTTCTGGTAGTTATTTTCCACTCAATTATGTCTTACAAAAAAACCCACTAAGAATTAGTATTTCTTGGCTGTTTAACAAATAGTTTCATATTGTGCATATGCATGTATGTGTTTGAAGTTTGCAATGCATTAGGATGCTTCTTGAAACTTTCTCATTCAAATATAAATATTCTATTGTTGCCTCATATCTGTTGAGCTTCTTACACGTGCATTTTATTGAAGTTTGGGAGTGCAATTTGGGTTTATAATCAATAGCTATTTTTTTTTAATACTAAAATTAATTTTTTTGTCTAGTTATAAAAAATATGACTTGTAATTAATACTTCTGTTGAATGGTAGTTACTTTGATTTCAAAAAATGCAAGTATGGCAGTGAACTTTTATTCTTTTCAGAATATTTGATACCATGCATGTAGGTTTCTTTTTAATATTATGTCAACTTCGTTGGAAGCATGCTTGATTACAAAATAATAATGTAGTACATTCTTGTAGAATTCTTATGATCGTCGCAGTTCAATCTCCATGCTAAAATGTTCTGATATGGTGCTAATATAGAAATCTTCTATCTGTCTTTCAACAGATTCAGTGGACCAATTCCACCTTCAATAGGTAATCTCTTTAATCTTTATTGGTTGGATTTGACTGGCAATAACCTTTCTAGAACCATCCCTGTCTCTAATGAGAGCACACCTTAAATTTTAGTTCGTACATTTGATTTTCTGTAAGAGACTGGCCTTACTTTCTGTTATAAAATTTTGGCTTGCTGTAGCATGTTTATAAATGGTTTGACTAATCAAACACTAAATCAGATTTGTAATTACCAGATTTTGATTCCTGTCACATGGTCAGAGCTTTTATGTTCCTTCCAACATTTCTTGCTTCTGTTAAAAGTTACAAAAAATAGAGTATTTCTTTTCTTTTTGGCATGTATTCTACATTGATTTTTGGTTTATGGAAATAGGAGGCCAGGTGAAGTTTACACCAACAATTATCTAATTTTTTTTATTTAACTGCTGCAACACTTCACAATAAATACATTTACCCTGATATTTCATGTCTGCCCTATTTCTATTTGAAATGTGTTTTTTTCTTCTTCTTCTTTCCCTTTTGTTTTTGTTTTATTTTCTTGGACAGAGAACTCTGTCCGCTTTGAAGTTGCCTAGGGCTGTTGTTGCTAACGGGCTATCCTCATCAGTCTCAGTTGATGAGTGCCCCTCAATTGATAATTCAGAGACGACTGATGGAGGTGCCTTTGATGGAAGTGCCTGTCATATACAAAACAATGGGAGGCGGAGGCAAAAGGTTCAGGATCCTGCTCGAGTTCTTTCAATTCAAGTATTGGAGAAATTCTCTCGTGTGAATAGATTTTCCGGGAAAGTCAGTGATATTTTTGGCACTAATGAGAGGAGGACCCATAACCTGACTCCTCACGATTACCCTAGCAACATGGCATCCAATGATGTAGAAAAGGTTACTGAACAAATTCCTGTAACCAAAGATCCTTTGGAGGTAACCTTTTGTTTCATTCACTTTGTATATGTTTGTATACATTAATTGTGATTTACATTAGGAAATTATTTTCGCATTAAATTTTTTCTCTTGGTATTTTCTTTTTTGAAATGTTACTATACTTAATACAAGATTGCCAGGGTACAATTTGCTAGATCACAGATATAAATGCTTAAGTATGAGTAAATTTTCTCATCTTCCTTTTTCTTTTGAACTATGACTGGGTGTAGATATTATGCTGTTTATGCACTTCAGCTGCATAATCTACTGGCTGGTGCTTTTGGTTTACATCTGTCCCAAATATTATTTGCAATAGGGTACAAACTATAGCATAGCCTTTTGCTGTTTGGACCATTAAAGTATATGTAGAGTATTTTTCTGCCTGCTAGTTTAGTTGCTCTTTGGAGTGACAGTTTATCGGATTGGATTATTCTTCAAAAGAAATGTAGAGTGTCCCCAAAATATTGCCATATTATATATTGGATTCTGAAATTTGGTCTCAAGTAAAGTGGGACAAGAATATGAACTTTATTCTCTTGGTTTAATACTCAAATTTCATTATTTCAGTTTAAAAAATCTAAATTTCTATTCTAGGATTGTCTGATGCAAACATCTATCCGTGTTAAACAGAAAACACGAATATTGGAAAAGAACTGATGAAGCAGAAGCTGCCACCAATGTGGGAACTTTTGAGCTAATCAATTTTAAGGAGGTACCAAAAGAAGCCTTTAGGTTTTGTTTATCTTTCTGGGTTTGTTCCCATTCAAATTTTTTTACCTTCTTCAAGTATGAGCATATAAGGTAACGGTGTCTAGTTAGTTTCCTGCCATTGCTTTTCATAATCCTTCAACAAATATGCAGTCACTCGAATTCGGCCTTTGTTATTTAAGCAGGCAAATGATGGTAGTAATTCATTCTTTTCTCTGCTTAGAAGTGATGTGTTACACATGAGAATGTGTCCTATTATCATTCTGATTTCTTCATATATATCAAGTTTGATGAGCAACAAAAGGATTTGGAAAGAGTAGGGATGTCTGTCTGGTTATGAAATGTTTTTGATATACCAGAAAATGCTAATTCGTTAGTGATTTATGTTTTGATACACATGAGCTGCCTATACGACAATGGACTCAAGATTATAAAGAATTTCTTGAATCAATTATGACAGGAAATGATAAAATCAAGGACCCATTTATCAAGGTATAATTAAGTTTGATTTCTTGAACTGATTTCTTAGTACATTATTAAGTTGTAGTATGTGAGGTGTTTGGAGTCTCACGATAGATTTTATTGGTTGCAGGATTACAGAGAGCACAACGATGACACCACCGTACACTTTGAAGTTATTATGTCCGAGGAGAACTTGATCATGGCAAAGCAAGAGGGCTTGCTAAAGAAATTTAAACTCACCACAACTATCAGCACAAGCAACATGCATCTGTTCGACCCAAAAGGCGTGATTAAGAAATATGAAACCCCTGAACAGAGTATGATTGTACTATACACCAGTTCAGATTAACCTCTAATCATGTATCAAATTTTCAGGTTATTTACAATTTAATTCTTTTGATTTGTAGTTCTTGAATTCCACGAATCAGAGGTCATCTGTCAAACTTAGGTATTTCCCCCCTTCTTCTTCTGATTCTACCATTCTGGTTGACCTCCCTAGGAGGGAAAGTGTAGAAAGGTGGGAGGCTTGTTTAGTGGGGCATTTTTTGGGTAGGAATCTCAATTAGTTTTGGGAGGCCTGTCTAGGGTTTTACAATCATATTGAATTCTTGTTCAGTCGCAGCAAAGCCTGTCTCTCTCTCTCTCTCTCTCTCTCTCTCTCATGTATAACAACCCAAGTGAGTTGGTTAGGTGGATTCTTGGAGTTTCAACTCCAGAAGGTCCCACATGAAGTGGGCTTGATTCTAGCTTGAGCTTGAGCACCTTTTTATTTTCCAAAAAGCTCCAAATTGCCTTGCTCGATTAGCCCTCAAGCAGGCTCTAGGTTTGGATCAATTGTTGACCTAATTAGGTCAATAATTATTTTATTTTTTTTATAAATTGATTCCTGGTTTCCTTGTAGCATTCTTTGGAGTTAGAGCCACAAGGAGTGGAGTGCAAGCATGGAGCTTGACGTAAAGGTTGCATGAGTGAGGTTATTGGCTCTGGATTGCAAGTCCTTTTACCTTGAGTCTTGTAGTCTTGGGTTTGTTTGTGGTTTTTCTCTTGAAGAGAGTTTTCTTCAAGGTTATTCACGACAAAAATTGCGTTCCTCTTTGTTAGTTTTGAGATTTACATGCGGTTGACCGATTGCATGTCCACAATTTATAAACCAAATTAAAGGAATTAAAATTGGTTTTTAATTTGGCAACCTTCCTTATTAGTTTGGCCTCAAATAGGTCCTTCTCCACTATTTGTGAATGTTTATTGGAAATGCTGAGAATTCCTTTTTCTATAAATTTAGGAAAGTAATTAATTATTGGTTTTGGAGTCTGAAGGTTAGAGGTTGAAGGATAGGAAATGAGTTAAGGTTTTGGAGGTGCCCTAGATAAATTAGTTGCGGCAAGAGTGGCTAGCTCACTAGCTGATTGAGATTCCACAACTACTTCTTCAGGAAGAGCTGCAAAGGCGAAGACTGGCACACCATGAGGAGGCAGAGGAAAAATCATACTGAAATAGCCATGGGTGAACTTGTGTCTTAAAGAGAATGAATATACTTTGTATTGAATCGAATCAATTGTTACAGGATGAAATTATATTTATACACTTCAATGACTCTTAACCATAACTACCTAACCTTTAATCTAACTACTAAACCATAGTTAACACTGGACAGTTAATCTGTAACAAACTAACAACCTATAACAAAATAACAACCTATACAGCTGGATTATTACACATGTGTGACTTATGCTATAGATGGAACTGTTGTAGCTTGCTCTGTATCTGTTGCAGGTTTTGCAGATTGCTGTGACTTATCATGTCTAATCTTCTATCTTCCGTTGGTAATATTATCTAAAAACTAATAAAGTAGATGCTGGTGGGAATTTTAGTGGGTAGTGCCCTCTGATGCTCATAATGATTTTTTTTTTTTTAATAAGCAATGCAATATGCTCATGATGAAATTAGTTTACTTATCAATTAAAAGTACTTGTTTCCAAAAATGTGAGACCATTAAAATTATCCGCAATAAATACAGAAAAATACAGAAATTTGAACATAGTGTGATGCTCTAAGAATGTTCATAGAAGTGTCTATAGTGTCGCTAATGGTGAAATCACATGATTATCCTTCTCTTGTGCCACAAGTCTCTAAAGTGGGTTCATCAGTTATAGGCTTCTCAAATTTTCTCTTTGTTTAGACTCTTACATGTTGAATGAGAATCTTGAAATGGTATGGATCTCAACACCATTTTATGAATAAGGTTGAATTAAACCATCAAGAGTAAGTGACCAACCAATTGACTTGTCAACTAATAGATATGCATTCAAGTTTATTGAGCTAGGCATATTCCTTATTTTTAACAAGGAGGTTGATGACTCTGCTTCCGAAAACGTACAACTTTTCTCATAACTCCTCCCATCTTCCTTGTTTTAGGAGAAAAAAAAGAACAATTTGTAAGTTGTATTTAGCTTTTTGGCTTGTATATATTCCATTGCTGCACTGTAATTTATATATTTGATTCTGATTGACTTATCTATCTTGTAGGTTCCTGCACGAGCTGTAGCAGCAGCAGCTGTTGCTCGTGCTCTTGCTGGACTACCTCCTCATCAGAGGTATAGTCTTCCATCAAGCTCTGAAGAGTTGAGTTCGATATATGGAAGCAAGCCCCATGGTCAAGTAGTGGAGGAGCTTGAGGAAGAATTTTACGAAGAGGTTTTCCTTGCTCATGATTGTCAATTTGGTTTCAGCAAGTGGCATGCTAATGTCCTATACTGTCTTTTGATTTATTGATTTTTAGTTGATTAGATAGGTAATTGATTCATATGACCAAGTTCTTTTTAGTTATTGCAAAGAGTGCTAATGTTTTCTTTACCTAAAGGTGCCAGCTAGCTTACCTGGTAATGTTAATATCTCTTTGTAGTTGTACCAGGGACCTGGGATCCGATCCTGTTTTCATCTGGGTTACGGGTAGGCTTCTCTGGCAATACACACCAAAAAAAAGCATACTTACTGTTTTTACCTGTGTTAGTTCGCAATATGTTTAGCATTCTTCTTGTCAGCCACCTGTTTCAAAACTTCAAGAAATAAACCTCTTCTGTTCATAAGACCTTTAAATCCACAACATGGAATTATTATCATCAGACCTTTGTGCAGCTTGGTGCTTTACACTTCTCCTTTGGCTTGTGATGCACACTGCACACGACAATGTTAATTGTATAAAATGGAGTTATGGGTGCATGCTTGTGTCATAGCAGAATGCGGCCCATGTAGTTTGTACCAGCTCTTCTTTTAGTGAAGACTGAAGATCAACTACTAAGAAAGATTCTGTTATGAGCATTTAATCCTATGCTGCCTGGGTCGTTGTTGCTACAAATTTTGGAGAAAGGAAAGCGATCTTCCAAAAGTATTGACTTACCCTTCATGTAGCATAAATTTTTGGTTTTATTTTGTTTATTTATTTAGACGATTGGAAGAGTTTTTATTTTCCATTATTGCGTAGTTGGATGGGGATCCACATCAACTTAAAGTGGTCACATTCTTGTCAGTAGTCACATCAACACTAAGTATCATGACGAGATGAGTATGATGTCTTGACGCATGAGCAAGGGGATGCCTAGGTTGGGCCTTAGAGTAGAGAATACCCAAGTCTGAGGCATGAGAAGGCTTCCTTTTAGCTGATTTAAAGTGTGTGATGTCTGTTCTCTCCCTCCCTCACAGCTTATTCTTCTTCCTTTTTTTTACTAGTGTCAATGGGAATTGAACCTTGGCGTCACTACACAATTTTCTGGTCTTGCTGAAAAGATACAAAGCTTCTTTATGCAGGAGGTTCTGTCAGTAACCCATTCTGTCTTGAAAAATATTTTGCAGGAGGAATGCTGTTGCATTCTATTATCAATTGAATTCATTACTGAAGCAGCTGGAGATAAACAAAGTGAAAAGAAACAAGATACTTGCATATCATTGTGTTTGTGTGTTGGTTTGGACTTCTTCGGGCCAGGTGTAGTTTGTCAGTCTGTAGATTTCCTTAAGAACAAAAGAAAGAAAAGTGTATCCCGTCCCTCATCGCATAGTTGTCTCACTTTAGTGGGTCTTATAACTCTCCAGTCATCTTAGTGTTATGCCCTTCTGGAGGTAGTGCATGAGTTTGGACTTATTTTTGTTCCGATATGGTTTCTCTCTGTTTCTTTTATACTTCTTTAAGATCAAAGGACAAAAAAGTGTATTCGGCCCACATCCAGTAGTTGTCCCACCCTAGTGAGCCAATAAGTCTCCATCACTCTTTCGTGAGTCAGGCCCTTTTGGAGATAGTTTGTGGGTTTGGACTTCTTTGACCTAGGCATGGTTTGTGTGTTACATTTCCTTAAGATCAATAAAACCAAGTATATCATTATGTTTATCATTTTGATGCCACTGTATTACATGCAAAATTATAACCTTGAGTCATCTACAAGTGATGATCACCGTAAATGGAAATGGTAGAAGCGGAATATATGAATTATTTAATTATGTGAGCATATAGCCCTTGATAGAGTAGATAATTAAATAATGGTTGAATGACACACACACACACACGCAGACACTTTTTCATTGAACGACATTCTCACTGAGATACGATTTAAATTTGGCAGGACCTGGAACCTTCCAATATGCAAAGTAGTAGGTATTACGTTTATGTCTCTGCATACATTGTTTGGTTTTAGCATAAACCATGCTGGTTCTGATTTAGTTTTTAAATATCTTCCAGTTCCAGACTTACCTACAGTGATCTATGCTATCAAATACCTGAATCCAAGTTTAGGCAATGTTTATTGACAACACTAGCTGCCCCTTTTAAGTTGATGAGTTAATATCAAGCAGTCATGAGCTTTCAACTAACGGATAAGGTAAAACTATCGTCATCACTGTATTATGGGTCATTTGGTGTTAATTACTCTGTTTATATTGTAGATTGTGATTATATATATATATACATACATTTCTACTTTGTCTACAAATTTTAAAATTCTCTTACTAAATCATTTGTTATCATTGGTACATATCAGTTCACTGTCTGTGTTGATTCAACTGATATTAAACATTTTCTAGCTATTGCTGCTTGTGAAATTTGGTGCTGTAATTGATCTGTATCATATCAGTCATGCTAGGAACACAGAGTTTTGTGTCCCATTCCATGTTTGGTTTCTATTGGCACCTTTTTTTTTTGTGTGTGTATTTCACTTTTTCCCTGTAATGTATGCTCTGAACAGACTGGACTTTTGGTATCAGGTAATGACAAATCAGGAGGCCGTGGAGTGCATTAGGAACATAAAGGATGCTAAAGCAGCTGCTAAGCACCTTACTTGTTGATAGCAAATATTAGTAGTTTTATTTGTTGATAGCTGCGCATGGATAACAAATAGTTATGTTTCAAATTGTTATGCTAGATGGATGTGACTTGTGAATGAAAACTTAGAATAGTTGTATTGTGTCGAATGTTAATGAATTATGTATTGTGTCGAATGTTAATGATTCAGTTGATTTGAATGATGCTTTAAAATTATAGGTTTATTATGATTTGAATGAATTATTAGGAATTACAGGTGTATTGTTTTCCTGTTTTGGCGACCAATTTATTAGTCGCGACAAATAAATAATTTTTTTTCGCAAAAAATGACAATTGCCGACCAAAAGTTTTGGTCGCAAAAAATACATCTATTGCCGACCAAAACAGCTCTTGGTCGTGGAAACTCACTTTTGCCGACCAAAAGTTTTGGTCGCGAAAAGTAACAAATGGCGACCAAAACCTTTTTTGGTCGCGGAATGTCACGATTAGCGATCAAACTTTTTGGTCGCGGAATGTCACGATTGGCGACCAAAATTTTTGGTCATGGAATGTCACAATCGGCGACCAAAATTTTTTGGTCGCGGAATGTCACGATTGGCGACCAAAATTTTTGGTCGCGGAATGTCACAATTGGCGACAGAAGAGAAACTTGCTAAAGAAAGGTACCACTCAACTCCTAATACATGGTGGGGGATGGTTGTTATTTTTAGAGTTACAGTTTTCTATAGGGCACTGCTAATTGTCCAGTAATGTTCATTGGAGCTTACGTTGTCCCCACAACCTCAGCATCTAGAAGCAATCTCATCACCTACAAAAGCTGGTCTCCTTGCCATATTTCAACTATCCATCACATGAACCAAGAGAAATCTATCTTTTGATGTAAAAGGATCAATTGAAGGAATTAAATCTTGTTTTTTATGAACTTCATCTCTATATTTGAGCAAATTTTCTATGTCATTAAATCCATTTTTGCAAGGTATGAACTAGTTAAGTGAGGAAGCCTACTAACCTAGGTTGGCCAATCACTTATATCAGTGATGGATTGTAAATCAAATCTCCAATTTCAATCTTTTTCACTTATTAGGTGCCAGAGGTTCAAAATATGCCAAAAACAACATGGGTCAAGCATGGCCAATCATGAGAAACAATAAAATGCCAACTACATTAATGAATTGATTTTCACTGTAACCTTGACTTTCTAATGAATTTTCTTTAGCGTGAAGAATCAAAATATTTTCTGTTTTCATGACATGAGCAACAATATTAAGGATATTGAGGTGGAAATATGTTCTCTAATGCTAACAATCCAACCATATTTTTCTAGTCAGTGGATGCTTACTTTAGCAGCATAGCAAGCTGCATTAAAAAGTAGGCCATCATCAGTAATTTGACCCTTCTCCTCTAATCTCCTTTTGATCTGCTCTTGTGCCCCAACATAAGTAACCCCATATACTGAAGTCATCACTGTCTGTTTCACTAGTTTCCTATCCACCTGAAAGCTAACAAAGTTAAAGGTCATTATCTAGAATTAGTCATCTTATAAATATGTAATGCGGTCTAAAACTCAAACATTTCAGGGAAGTGAGGAAGAAGTAAAAGAAAACAACCTGTCCAATTAAGAGCTTGGCTAATAAAGTATTTGGACTTGTTGCAGGATCCTTATTGTTGTCCCTTACCATGATATCATGAACCCTGCCAGATTAAATTGTTGCTTTTAAGGGTCATGAATGCAACATTAAAATATTAACAACAAAGTAATGCATGAGAAAAAAGATCAAAGCCTTCTCTCCCACACCTCCCTTTCCCTTCTCCTTTTTTTATTTGGTTGAGAAGGGAGAAGGAAGGGTAAGAAAGGGATTACTAGTTTATGACTTTGCTCAAATATATTTACAAAAAAGTGCTTTTTCGAGGGAAGAAGGTGATGAAGAAGTTGATTAAGTATAAGGTTCCACCTTCCCTTCCTTCTGTTCACTGTTGGGTGAAAAGGGTAGGTGGAACCATGGAAACTCTCCCCTATCTATTTTCCTACTATCAAATACTAGAAACTCCAAATGTTGTTTAGAGGCCAGAAGTGATGAAGTGTAAGGTTCCTCCTTTCCTTCCACCTGTTCACTGTTGGGTGAAAATGATATGTTGATCCAAAGAAACTTGTGGGTATCTATATTATGCTTGGCACATAGCGAGCCCTACGGGCGTGTAGACGTCCCCGAACGCCGCCGGGAGGGACGAGTCCCTCGTTCCATTCGATATTGGGCTCACTACAGTTCGGACTCTCAATTTGTCACGGTTCTAAATCTGAACCAAAGAGTCCAAATCCGTTTGAGAAAACAGATTTTGAAAGAAGTGCCAAACATGGACTGCTTTGCCAGATATAGAGTCGCCACCTAAATATTTTATTTTGGGGAAATTTAGGAAACCCTGACTCGTTTGCCTAAGGCCACGTGTCCGTCATCACCAAAGTTGCCTCGGCTCGGGAACTTGGGTACGATTGGGGAAGGTCACTTCGTGAGCACCCTCGCTCACCCAATCAAAGATCGGCCTCTACTAACCATGATATCTATTTTTGAAAACATTATGAGTTCTTATTCCGGTTATTAGCCTAGATTACTATATGATGTGCACAGCATACAAGTATAGACTGGATCGCCTGAATTGGAACAAAACATTTCATGTTTGTTTGTTTGAAAATGGTTTGATGGTGCCTACTCGCAAGTAGGCTAAGCGTGGATTTGCCACCCTCAGGTGGGCTTAGAAAACATGATTTTGCCACTATCTAGTGGGCTTAAAACACACAGTGAATGAATTGTTCCAATCCAAATAACCCAACCTTCACCCATAGGCATTCAGGTAGTTATATCACATAAGCAATTAGCCTCATGGTAAGCATGCTATCATGGCAGTCACTCACACGCATGCAAGGTTGCTAAAGCATAAAACTTACCGAGTACTCCAAGCCAAAACAGAAACTAATTAGAAATCCATGCATGATCCTAATTATACAGAAATGCCTAATGCAATACATGCAAAAGTGCAACTATAGCAGGCTTGGCTATTCTAGACATGGCATATGAAATGCTACAGCTAACATGTATTCAACTTGGAATTGAAAATTCAATGCAGTTAGTATGATGCGCCGAGCCCGGTGCATGCAAAACAGATGAATGAATGCAAACATGCTATCATACTGTATGCTAATTAAACATGCCCTAATCTAAACCATCATAAGCGGGTAAATAAAAGGGAGAAAGACGTGGGGTTGGAAGACATACATCACACACACGCACACTTGTTACAACATTGCCCTCGCGCGGAAGGTCCGAAAGAATAATACAGTCCCAAATGAATATTACAGTCCAAATAATTACAAAATCCTAATTAATTAACAAATTAAATTAGGAAAGCAATAAATTGGCATGCAAGCCAGGGACTTCCTCAAATCTGTTCCGGATGATGAATGATGCATGCTCGGGTTGCCTTGTGTGGAGAATCCCTCGCGATGCCCCGGTTTGCCTCTGTTTACAATTGTTCTTGGAATGCGTGCCAAGCTCCGGAAGGCTGCCGATTTCTGATTTACTGCAACAGAGAGCAACAAAGGGGCATGGTAAAGTATTTTCACATATGTATGCATGACTACTCTTCAGGGAGTGTAGTCCTCGATCCTCGTGCCACCAATCACGCATCTCGATGCATGATGGCCGGGGAGTCGAATTGCATGACTCAATATGGAATGAATGCACATGAAAACACAACAGGGCCTAGACTCCATCATGGATAATCTGGAGTGTCGGCGACCAGGAATTGAGATACGTTCCGTCACTTGGAGTACGAAACGTACCTCATTTTCCGTGCTCGGACTAACTCCTATCACAAACACAATGCAATATGCATGACATGCATGAATGCAACTAATATACAACCTAGCATGCACAATGCTATGAAATGGCATACACGATGCACGAGGTAACATGGCATACACGATGCGCTAACATATAACCTAGCATACACAATGCTATGAAATGAAATGGCATACACAATGCACAATGGACTTACACCAACATGAGTGGACCTTAGCCACACTCACATCGGTAGCCATACGATGAAAATGAGACAACTCGAAATACGTGCCCACGTGCACGCGAACCGAGGTTCGACCCTAAGGCACCAAATGCCACTCAAACAAGACATGGCAAGGCATGGAATATGGCATACTAGCATGCAAATTTCAGTAGCAAAATATGATGCAAAACAGCCCCAGAACATGGAAACATGGCACCCGATACATGGAATGAGACCCGAAACATTAAATTAGGTACATGGAATGACCTATGGCTATGCAAAGCATGCATTATTTGAATACAAAGTGTGAAGACAGAATCAAGACAGTCCCAAAAAAAGCAATTTTACAGTTTTAAGCAAGGCCAAAAAGTGAACACAAATAGGGCCAAGTTAACATGCAAAAATGGCCCCAAAAGAGAGATAATGAAGC